TGGAAAACCCAAGCTCTTCTTCCGAGCAGAAGGCATGGGTGGGGGGACACTGGCGGTGGCCACTCTCCCTGCAGCCTGGTCTCTAGAGAAACAGGACCTGAAGGCCCCACGTAAGAGAAGGTACGTGGTGGTGCTGACACGGGTGTGGGGATGGACAGGCCCCGGCTCTGCCACCATCACCCAGCTGGAGAGTCCGCAGAGCCAGCGTGATGCACGCAGACCAGAAGGCCTGAGGCTTGCAAGCTCGCAGTCTGATTCCCAGGCCAAAGGCCCCCGAACGGAGCGGCCTCTGTCGAAGGCCGGCGCACACGTCCAGCAGGAGAGGTGGCCTGCAGCAGCCAGCCTCCTCTGGGCAGCTGCCCGAGCGACTGGGCCACACTGGTGGGAGGAGGTCTTCAGGAGGCTGCTGCTCCAGATGTCACCACCGCGAAAGTGCTCTCGTGGTGCCTCAGCAGCTCCTCCTCAGCCACGTGAGTTGGCAAGTGCAGCCCCAGTCTCCCGGTTTCCCAGGCAGAGAGTACACCCTTCGAGCTGCTTGGGCCCTTCTGGCATTTCCTCGTCTTGCAGAAAAGATTCCAGGAGCCCAGGGCTCTGCTTCCCACTCCCACCTGGGCGAACACCGCTGGGCAGGCACACTCCAGGCGCAGCCCTGAGGGAGCACAGCAGAGCCACCTAGCTGCAGATGCACCGTCCTCCTGGCCCTCCTGGCCCTGACGCCAGGGCCTGAGATCTCTGCCAAGGTCCCCCTGGCCCAGCTGTGCCCAGCGTGGGCTCCCAACAGCAGCGCTGCGCATCCGGAGCAAACCAGCTCCTTGCTGCTTGTGCTGAGGCTGCTCACCGGATGCATAGGCTGGGCCCAGCGAGTCCTGGAAATTCAGATGCCCCAGCCTGCCTGCAGCGCTGCTAAGCAGGAGCCACGCTTCACAAGAGCAGAACATTTGCACACTCAGGTGAGCCACTGCTGGAGCATGTGTGTAAATGCAGGAGGAGGCCAGGCTGGGAGAGCAATCATGACGCCCCCCTGCGGCGATGCCTGTGCCCAGGCAGCACAGCGGGCAGAGGGGCTCGGGGCCAGCTCACCTGACCCAGTGCTGGCCCTCATGGGAAAGCCCTGCTGGTGTGCCCACCTTGACCCTCGCCGCATTCACCAGGGAGCTTCAGGAACACGGGCCCCACAGGACACGTGGCCCGGCCTCTGTGCAGAACACAGACTGCAGGCCACTGCAGCCCACTCGGACATGAATGGGGCAGGTGGTGTCCTTTCCTCATGTTCCAAAGGAAGGCAATGGGATCTGTTCTCCAAATGGTGACGGGACATAATACAACACCAATGATCGATTTGTATTGTTACTATATTATTTAAATATTTATTTTTAGTAAGTGAATTCTCTATCATGACAAACCATGCCTTTTGGTAACAGGTCAGCTGGCAGTCTCTTCCCCTTATGTTAACAGAGCTGCAGGAGCTTGCTTTTTTTTTTTTTTTTAATCTTCTATTTATTCGTTTGGTGCAGGCTCTCACTCTGCAGTTTCCCCAGCACTGGAATTACAGGCATGCACCCCCATGCCCAGTTTTGGTGGCCAGCAGGGTGCAACTGGGGTTCCAGGGCCTGTGTGGCATGCAGTACCAGGGATCAAACTCGGGTCCTTGCACTTTCCAGGCAGACCCTTAGACTGTCGAGCTGTTTCCCCAGCCCAGGAGCTTGCTTTTATTCAGAAATCTTGTGTCATATTCTCTCACTCTTTGATTTTTTTTTCTCTTTTTGTTTTTATTTCTGAAACAAGGTCTCACTATGCAGCCCAGGCTGGCCTTGAACTCACGGCGTAGCCCAGGCTGGCTCGAACTTGTGATGGTCCTGCCTCAGCCTCCCCGGAGCTACACAGGAATGTGATAGAACACCCAACCCGACTTTAAGCCTTGTGTGTGCTTATGTTTTATATAACTTGAGTGGGACTCAGTTGAATCTCTTACATTCGCTGGGACAGCGCTGTCTCCGAGCGTCTGCCTACCTGTGTTGAACGCGATCACTAGCCTTCTGGGACACCAGCAGGGCGCGCGGGTGGCTGCAGTTCTCACCATGGCCACGAGGGGGCGACCTCAGGACTGGCTGTGACCACAGCGCAGGAGGACACTGGGACAGGAATGCGAGCGCATTTTCCGGGTCCCGTTGCTGCCCGGCCCGGAGGTCAGGGCTGCTCTGCTCAGGTGCTGAGCGCCGGGCTGGGGCAGGAGGAGGCTGCGAACGGGGGTGGCAGACGCGGCCGCAGGAGCCGCTGCCTGGCCAGCCTGCTGGCTGCAAGCCCCGTCTCCCGAGGGGCGCGGGGCGGCCGCACGAGAGCTCGCACGCCGGGCTTCGGGCTGGCCGCGGCCGTCCGTGTTCCTCGTCGCTTCGGCTCCGGGCTGCGTGCGCCTCCTCTCCTTCGCGGCCTCTTTCGCGGTCTCTGTTCCCCTTCCTGGCCCTGCCGCGGCGGGTGCTGCCTCCTGTTGGTTCCAGTCGGCACCCCAGAAGGCCCTCCTGCACCCCACTCCTCAGAGCCGGCTGCTGGCCGGTGTCTGCCTTCTTCCTCCACGACACCTTGCCCACGCCGTGTCCTCGGGTGCTCCCGGGGCCCACCGACACCCTTCCCCGCTCGCCCCGCGGCTCCCCGCAGCGGGCTCCGCCTCCTGCTCGGTCCTGCTCCGGGAGTCCTGCGCCCGCGCCCGCCCGCGCTGAGGTTCCGGGACGGCGTCCGGCTCCAGCGCTTCGCGTATGCGGCCGGCCGGAGCGCCCAGGCTTCTGGGCCGGTGATCTGGGACCCTTCTGCAAGCGTCCGTTCCTGCGCACGGCCGCGGCTGGTCGCGACGCCCTGTCCGTGTCTCCTTTCCTCCGTGCTTCCCTCCCTCAGGGCCGTTTCTTCAGCTGTTCTCTCCTGTCACTGACACCTCTCCAGCAGTCAGATGTGTTCCTAGACCTGGCACACCCAGCTCTTGTGGCCAGGTCAGATTTGCACTGCAAGGCCTACTTTTTTGTTTTGTTTTTCCACGGTTGTTACTTTTGACAGCTTCAAGTTCCCTGAAGAAATATATCTCTGTCTGTCTGTCTGTCTATCGATCGATTGATCGATCTAATCTAGCTATCTTTTTGAGACAGGGTCTCTCTACACATTTCAAGCTGACTTTGAACTTACCTTTCAGCCCAGGCTGGTCTCCAACTTTCATCAACCCTCCTGCCTCAGCCTCCTGAGTACTGGGATTACAGACGTGCACCACCGTGCCTGACACCTAAAGGTATTTTCAAGCTTGGTTTTATCCAACCTGACACACTTCCCGTTCATAATCTGGACCTGGCAGTCCTGATTCCTTCAGCCCCGAGGCGCCTGTCTGCCACCCTTGGCGACATGCTGCTGTATGTGCAGGACTACGTGACTCTGAAGCAGCAGGTGGCTGTTCTCTTCTCTCTGTGGCGTTGGCTCTTGCCTCTGGCAGCCAGGTTTCAGGTTCCAGGCTTCTGAGAGGCCTCCACGACCCTGACTGAGGTCTTCCCGGCACGGCTCTGTGAGGCCTCCTCTGAGTTTGACTCATGGCACCTTGAAGAGGTGACCCTTGCGGCCCTCCAGGCCTGAAGCAGCACTGTGCCCGGAGCAGCCCGGCCATCCCTGGGCTTTACAGTGCATTTCAGATGCGTGTGGTTCAGCGAAGTTCCCAGGGTGCCCATCGGTGGCCTTCATGTTCATTGACTGCCTGGGCTCCGCTGTCCCGACACCCTCCTCCTAGTAACCCCTACCGTCCTGCCGACTCTGCTTGTGTGTACATATTGTAAAGATGGGTGTCTACTGCTAAACTGGCCCTGGTGAGCACAGTGAGCCAAAGAATCTGGCCACTGTGACTGGACACAGAAAGCCCGGCCACGTCTTGTTGGCCCAGAGCAGATGCTCAGGAAGTGACTTCTGGACTAACCGAAGGACGGTTGTTTGTGGCGCGCCCGCATGGTTGGCTTGGTCGGCCTGGTCCGCATGGTCTGCCCATGCTCATGAGCAAGGGGCCTTCGCTTCCTGCCCTCACCGTGCTTCTTTTCAGCTCTGCCCCAGGACGCCTGTCTCAGTTGCTCTTCTTTCCTTACCGGGACAAAACACCCAGCACCCAAGACTAAGGAAGGAAAGGTTCACTTAGCTCGCAGTTAGCGGAGGTTTCAGTCCATACCCAGTTGGCTCCAGGGCAGAGCAGCACCTGGCACAGAGCCGCAGTTCATGGCAGTGGCGAAGAGCAAGGAGCAAAAGGAGGGGCGGCGGCTGCGGCTGCCAGCTCACCTCTCACCCCTACTCACACTGTAATGCAGATTCCCCACCCAGGATGGGTGCAGCACTGCACCCACAGCAATCAGCCACAGACTCCAGAAGCTGCCCTGTGACTGCGTGAGGCTCTGGGGGACACAGCCCTAGCATGCTGTGGTCCTTCCTCCCAGTCCAGCAGGCCCATGGGTGTGCGTTCCCGCCCTCCAGAATCCAGGGTCCACCTCTAGCCCCTGACAACCCTCATCAAGCCCAGTGTGAATGTCATCAATCCGCGGCGCCTGGAGGCTGCACACATAGCTGGACATCCCAAGGCCCCATGTGCTGTCATTTATGGCTGCAAACAGTCCCCTCTCATCTGTCCAGCCCAGCACTTTCAGGTCTGGTAGTTGAGGGACTGAGCCTCAGCTCAGTGTACTGTGGGAAGCAGGATTCAATGCCTCCCCTGAAGCCCAGAATTCACCACCCCTTTGGGGTGACCCTGGCCTCCCCCAGGGGGGCTGACACAAACATTGCAGCTCCCACAGAGACACTGCTGTCACAGTACTGCGAGGGGACAGCAAGGGACAAAGCCACACAGCCAGTGTGAAGCCCAGGTCCTCACTCCAGGCCTGGCCCCGGTCCGGACATCACAGGCACTGCCCGGCCGAGTGTGTCACGGTGACACCTGAGCTCGGGGCAGGAGCCAGGTCCACAGCTCTGGGCGGGCCCTGCATCTCTGTCCCACTTACCTCACCACCTTGTTGCCATTCCTCACTGCCTGCACGTCCACCACGCAACCCCCAGTGACATAGGCGGCCAGGTTCAACTCGGAGAACTCTGCCTGGAGAGAGAGCGCACAGAAGGCGGGTGTGTCACACTGGGGATCATGACGACGGCCACGTGTCTGGTGCCCGTGCGTTCCCCACAGCGGGGCTTCACGGCACCTCCACAGGCTGTCAGAGGGACGTGGAGGTGCACAGGGGCCTGCAACATGTCCAAGGTCACACGACTGGTGGAAGACAACATCGCACTGAGCCCCCAGGTCTCTGGCCCCTCACTGTGTGTCCCACTCCTGTCATTTCTGACGGGGGGCGGGGAAGAAGCCACCCAGCTCCACAAGTGCAATACCAAACCCCGTCATGGCACATTTACGACAGAAGTCTGCTGCTTGGGGCCACGTGGCACTGTGGTGGCTCCGAGGCTCAGGGTCACAGCACCTCCTCCAGGTGGCTGTCTGGTATCCCCCTCCCCGCCTGGGGGTCCGGGAGAAGCTGGTCTGTGCCCTTCCAGTCACCTGAGAGAGTCAGGATACAACCCAGGTACAGGAGTGAAGTCACCTCCCAAGGGTCTCCGGGAATCTGCCAGTTCTTTTCAGGGTGGCTGTGACTTTAATGTGTATGTGGAGCTGTATTTTCTGCTAGTTGGTTGCGAAGCAGAAAGGGAAAGAACAAGGGGAGGGAAGAGGGGAAAGGGGAGGGGAGAGGGAGGGAGAGGGAGGGGGGAGAGGGATGCAGAGGGATGCAGAGGGAGGGAGAGGGAGGGAGAGAAAGAGAGAGAAAAAGGAGAGAGAGGGAGAGGGAGGGAGAGGGAGGGAGAAGAAGGAGGCAGAGGGATGCAGAGGGAGGCAGAGGGAGGGAGAGGGAGGGAGAGGGAGGGAGAGGGAGGGAGAGAAAGAGGGGGGAGAGGGAGAGGGAGGGAGAGGGAGGGAGAGGGAGTGGGGAGAGGGATGCAGAGGGATGCAGAGGGATGCAGAGGGATGCAGAGGGAGGGAGAGGGAGGGAGAGGGAGGGAGAGAAAGAGGGGGGAGAGGGAGAGGGAGGGAGAGGGAGGGGTCACCAGGAAAGACGAGACCTGTCCACAGCCCCGGTCGGAGGCTGGAGGCCCCCACCCTGTAGCACTAGTTTCTTCTCTTCCCGGGTATCCCTATCTCCTCCCCACCCTCCATGCCAGCCCTGCACCCCGTGCTCCCCGCTAGGACACCATCCTGCAGGTGCACACGCACATGGGCAAGCTTGTTCAGACCTGATTGCCTCTTTGACCAGCCATCTCCAACAAGGCCGCCTTCTGAGGATCCAGAGAGCCGCATGAGCAGCACAGGAGTTTGGGGAGGTGACAGGACCTGTACTGCTGTCACCTGCAGGACACAGATCCCACTGGAGCCTGTGCACAGCAGGGCCAAGGCCATTTCCGGGTCGTAACACAAACGACTTCCTGCACGCATGAAGCACTGTGTGCCGCGAGGGCCCTTAATCTTCAGGTGTCCAGACAGGGACTCCAGGCAGGAGCCAGCCACCCGGGCAGCACTGCACCAGGGCTGCAGGTCCCGGGAGTGGGATCCACCCTGGAGCCTGGCTCCTCGCCCTTGCACCCCACTGCCGCATAGTTCAGCTTGGGTGTTTTAGGGACTTAAAAATAACCTGGTTAAAGAGAAAAATGAGTTTACAAGGATGGGAACTTCCTTTCACACCCCCCAGGCATCGCCCCTGGAGCCACTAGCAGCAGTCACGAGCAAAGGCCCGAGCCCTCTTGCAGCACTACAGCTGGCGGGTGGAAGAGGCTGCTCTTAAGGAGTCCTCGGAGTCAGAAATGGTGTTGGTGACAACCAGCGGCGACTGTGTCGGATGCCTCCCAGTTCAGCCCATCACGTTCGTAACCCTGACGGCAGGACCACAGAGGACCGCAGAGGACCGCGGTGCTCTTGTGTGTGGCCCGGAGAGGAAGCAAGAGGAGCTGCAAGCAGGAGGGCTGGCCAGCACAGCCACGAGGAGCAGCCCCTCAGCAGCAGACCCAGGGGCTGTCTCCCCGCCTGGACAGGAGAAATTCCCTGGAAGAAGACGCCCTCAGCCCAGACACCAGGCCAGAGGCTCACCTCGTGCCGCTCTGACCATGGTTTGCGGGCCAGCAGGAGGGGCAGGTCGGGTCCCAGAGCAGCGAATGCGTGCTGTGGGGTGAGGGGCCTGGGTCAGCACCAGAATTATCAGTCTCCCTGAGGTCTCCCGCTCGAGCTCACCTTTGACCACAGGCCTGTGGGCTTCGACTGTGTGGGCTGTGGCACCCTCCTCAGAGGTACACGGCGGGCACAGGGAGTGGAAAGACGTGCCCTCCGGAGGTCACGCCCAAATGCGAGCTGCCCTTCAATCTGCTGCTCCGAGTCCCGCGTCCACACTGCTAAAGTCAGAGACAATGTGTGGGCAGTACTCGAGCCTCACGGGTCACGGCTGCGTGTGCGACGGGGTTGGGTGGGACCCAACCTGTCCAAAGCTGAGGAACAAGTGTGTGCCACCACTTGTGGTGTCCTCGTGGGAGCAAACTGAGGCATCAAGATGGTGTGGACAAGGGCCAGGGCGGTACGTGTCTGTCCGTTGCTAGTGAGCAGGAAAGCCCTCAGCAACAGCCCCAGCCACTAACTGCTGCAAAGAGGACGCAGGCAAAATGACCGTGACTGCTGCGGAGAAGACCGGGCGGGAAACGTGGCCCAGAGGTCTTGTGAGCCGAGGACCCAGAGCTCGGGTCCAGGGCACAGAGCCGCACAGAAAGACCCCTCCCAGGGGAAGCTCCGTGGCCCTTGGCTGGTTACTGATCTATGCAGGAAGGGAAGGAAGTGCCTCTGGGCCTGGCAGGAAGCCGGAAACCACGGCTCTGCGATCCGCTGGCCCCCCGGGGCTGGGGAGTCCTTCATGGGGTCAGGGGGTGAAGCCTTCTCCTATGAATGGGCACTTAAAACAGTAATGAGGCCACACTAACCCTGCCTGGGGAGGGGCAGGGCCAGTAGCTCGCCACTGTGCCCCGGGCTTGCTCAGCCCAGATCTGAAGGTTTTGATTCCCAGGAGCCCCTTGCCCCATTTTAAACTGCAAGCCTCATGTCCTGGGAATCTCTGTGGTCCCCGGCAAGCTACTGTGACTGATTATTGTCTCTAACTCTGTCCCAAGAGGCTTAAAAGCAAGCTGTGAATGGCTCAAGCCTATCCAAATAACTTCACAGGAACACAGCAAGACCTGGCGCACAGCGCTCACAATGTAAAAGTTAGGAAAACTGGTCACAGATAGCGAGGGCAGGAGAGGGGCCGGAAAAGACGGTGCTAACAAGCGGAAGCCTGTCAACAGGAGCAGTCCCAGGAGTGAGGGGTGGCAGCAAGCTGAACAACTCCGAGAAACACCCTTCGTGCTTTCTAGAGCATGAGGGGGACGTGAGTGTGTGATGAGGCGAGAGGAGAAAAGTATTGTTTCAAGTAGAAAACCGAACCTGCAGACATCACAAAAACAACGTCTGGGAAAGGAAGCACCTGGCAGGGCTGCAGCCAGCTCAGCAGTGCAGAAGGAAGTGCTGGTGTGCACGGAGGCAAGGCACAAGCACACCCAAAGCGAAGCAGGAGGCAGAAGCTCTGAAACAATACTAGAGCCTCCGTGAGCACGGACCACTAACAAAGTCTACAATACCAAAAGAAAAAATAAAACCATGCCAGCCTGGAAGAGTTCCCAAAAGGCTCTTTGCTAACAACAGTAGAGACGTTTCCAAACAAACGTTTGACCTGATTGCAAATCCCAGAAGTTCTGTAGGCAGCGACCCCTCTACCAACACACACAGACACGCACGTGCACGCACGCACACACACATCACTAGATACGGCAAGCATGAGGGTATATATAAATCATTTTGTTCGAAAACCTTCATAAAAGATAATTAGATGTTTAATGAAAAATGTAGCACTGTATGCTAGGAATTTATAGCACTTGAAGAGTAAAATTGCATCACAGGGACCCAAAGTTGGGGCTGGGAGCATGTCACCCAGCATGTGACATGGGATAGCCTAGCTGAACCCTGCTGTCGCTGTTAGATGAGTAGGCTGCGGGCCCCAGAGCAGTGCCTCAAAAGCAGAGGTAGAGAGGGACGAGATCCACATGCGGCTGGCACAGGCTGCATGCTTGCAGCGTGACGCTCTGTGGTACTGTCCTGCGCGTAATCAGTCCCCAGATCCAGAGGGACTGGCCCAGAGCCGGGAGCCCTCACCCTCGCCTGTTGCTGCCAACCCCGCCGCAGCAGCCTCGTCACGGAGAGCGCTGCAGCTCCGTCCCTGCAGCCTAAGAGGACAGAGCCTCCCGCGCCACCTCTGGTGCCCGCCTTCTTCCACTCGCCTCTCTGTCCCTGAAAGCATCCGTGATGTGGGGCAGAGCGGTCCTCGCTTTTTATTTCCTTGCTGTGTTTGCTACCTGCATATATAACAATAGCGATGTAAGTAATAATGTATTTATTCTTTCTGCTCGAGGTGGACACCAGGATCTTTTAGGCAGCGGATCCTAAGACCAGAGCTGCTAGGTACACCGCCACGCACCTCTGGTGGTGGAGGGACTCGGCTGCTTCCTGGGGACACAACTTGGCGCAGCCCTGCAGGGTTGCAGGCAGGCGGCTGCTTGCCCGTAGAGAACAGCAATGAAGAATTCTCCAAGTTCACACGCCCACGAGCAACAGGAGAGCTTCCGCTGCCCGGAGCGCCCGCATCCCGCGGAGCTGCCCGTGATGTCAGTCTTCGCTGCCCTTGCAGGTTCGTGCACCGCTGCTTCGGCTTGCTTTTCTTCGCTGGCTAACGACCCTCCGACAATGTCCCTTTCTTACATCCATCTTGTGGTTTTGTTTGTGCCTCTCTATTACTTGGTAAGGAGAATTAAAAATATGTTATCAATAGACTTCTTGTTGAGTATATTAGTTGCAAATATCTGCTTCCATTCTGTGGATTTTACTTTCACAATTTTTAAAGACTACACACATATCTATGAAGTAAATTAAATTAATTCTTTTTTTGAAACAGGTTCTCACTATGTAGCTCCGGTTGGCTTCAAACTCAT